TCCTCCAATAGCCCCACCGACTTCACTGCGACTGCTTGTGGTATAAGGGACTGTTCACTTGTAAGTGCATTAGAATCTGGCTCCTAATTAACAGAAATCAATGTGCTGCCATTATTATTTATGTGTATTATTGTAGCACTCTGGAGCCCCAGTCCTGGAAAAGCTTCCTGCTGTGCTAGACACTGTACAAACAGAGCCCCAAAAAAAATCTCCCTGTTCTCCCTGGGGGGAATCTGACTTGTGCTACTGGCCAGGGCCGGCTCCAGGCACCAGCTTATCAAGCAGGTGCTTGGGGCGGCCAAGGGAGAGGGGCGGCAGGTCCCTCACTCCCTCTAGGAGCAAAGAACCTGCCACTGAACTGCCGCTGCCAATCACGGCTTTTTTTTTTTTTGCTTGGGGCGGTAGAAATGCTGGAGCCGACCCTGCTCCTGGCACACAGTATAGAAAAGTATTTCCTTCTGTGAGGCTTTCAGTTGCGGTGCAATAAGTTTATGCTAAAAGCAGGATAAGTATTTTTGAAGAATGGTTTATCTGAATACAGCATACTGGAGAAATAACCACTAATTGAGCTCCCTTCCCTTCCCCACTCCCCTGCCACCGCTGTCATGTGGAAGGTTAAGTTTGTGGTTTGTTCAGCAGCCATCATCTACGGATGGCTGAAATTCTGTTGCTGATGGACATCCCCAGGAGCAGTAATTACATCGATGTAGGAGTCCTCTTTCTGTAGTTAGTTACTGCTACTATCAGCTGTCTGAGTCGTGCCATGGTCTTAACCTGCTGGCACTGGCATCACCTATTGCTTCCCAGTCTGTCACGCTCCTCCATTGTAACCGCGAACATGGCATGCCCAATAGGAAACCACTCAGCCTGAGGGGCTGAAAGCTGTAGGACCTTGTTCCTTCCTCATTCCTATCTCTTGCTTTAGAAAGTCCCAGTGTTTCCTCCTGTGGAAGGAATTTCCCCCCCACCCCTACCTCTCTCAAGCTGCTTACAAATAGATCATGGCTTGGCCAGCAGTTCTGAGCCGCTCACACTGACCACTGGACTCTAGAGAAAGCCAGGACTCAAGTGCGACTGTCCCTGGTGAATGCTGTCAACTCCACCAAAGGTATTTAGGTGCATACACTTCTACTGATCCTGCCTAAGCACCTTTGTGGATCTGCGCACAATTGCTTTACTGATGTGACCAGCATATGCTTCCTTAGCTAACACATCCCGCTGGTGAGGGGAAGCCCTAGTGGGACTGATGCTTTTGGACTGACCCTGAACCCAGAAAACTTAGAAAATTCAACCAACTGCACCTGCCAGTGGTGGTGGGTTTTTCAGTTTAGGCAGGAGAAATGCTACTGAGGGTGAGGACTGCAGGCACCACACTGATGGGCATTGTTTACTACCACAATACCTGTAGTATTAGGCTTTTATGCAGGTAATGGCAGTGACTGATGCAGCCTGGCCCTAGCCAATCTGAGTCGTCTCACACATACTGTCATACGGGCACAAAAACTCCTGTGTGAGTTACTTTTAGCTGCCTAACAAGCAATTCCAAGTGAGTGAGGAGTTTCTTCCCAAGTTCAATGCCAGTGATGACTTGTCTCTCTGTAAGCAGAACACAAACCCTTCAAGGTTCCATTCCACGGCTAAATTTTGAATCCACAATGTCCAAGTGGGTTGTAAGTTTGCTGAATTGGGTCCTGTTATGTTTTTCAACCAGGATAAACATAAGCAAATTCCAAATGTTATTTTTACCAAAGGAGCCTGAGTTAAACCTGCCACATATGCACGACTGGGTAAACAGATCATTTCACCAAGGAGTTACCCATTTGCACTCTCAAATGCATAACTTCTGGGTGTAGGTTTTTCTTCGCATAGGCAATAAGCCATGTGGGGCTAGATTTTTAAAAGCTGAACCTTGTACTGCAATTATCCATGGACAAAAATGTCAGATCTAGCTAACTGATTGTATCCAAAATCAGGTTGCTAGCCATCTAAGTGACATTAATTACATCCTCAAATGGTGGATTAAAAAAAATAAAATAAAAAAAAAGATTGTGCCTTAAATTATTTGCACTTCTAAAACTGCAAGTGCAAAAAGGGGGATCTAGGTTGTCATTTGTTTAAAAAACAATCAGGGCCTTTATCTGCACAAATGCACAGTTTGTTGCTTGCCCCAGCATACGAACGTTCTAATGGGCATAATTCAGAATTTTTTAAATGTGCAAAGAAAACACCTTTTACCTCTTCACCTGCCTATCACATACTCCCACTCCCCACTCCATTGTGCCTTTATTGTCCCTGATAGCAAGAGGTTTAACATACAATACATACATACAGCAGCATTCCATATTTGAATTCATGTAGGTTCTGTAGATTTTGGAAATGTTTCCACTTTAAGGAATGGGGAAAATACAGAATAGCTCTTTGGCCTTTACAAATCAAAACATTCAGAGTTCAACAACTTCTGTCCAGTATGTCCATCCCCTTAAGTACATTTACTTTAAACATCAAATTCAATTCACGTTTTATATTTGTCCCTCTGCTCCCTCCCTTTTCTGCTACCTGGGGATCATGCCCTAATGACACTTTGGCCTGGTCTACATTGGGGGGGGGGAAGGGGGAGATGGATCTAAGTTACGCAACTTCAGCTACATGAATAATGTAGCTGAAGTTGACGTATTTAGATCGACTCACCGTGGTGTCTTCACTGTGGTGAGTCAACTGCTGCCGCTCCCCCGTCAACTCTGCCTGCGCTTCTGGCAGTGCTGGAGTACAGGAGTCGACGGGAGAGGGCTCGGGGGTCGATCGCTGCCCACCAATCCGGCAGATAGTGAAGACATACCCTTTGTCTAACCTGTAAGTCTCACTAATTTAGAAGTCACATTTAAAAGCTTGTCAATTTTGCCTTGAGTAAATAGAAAGGTACCCCCATAGTTACAGTATTCCTCTAGACTTTACAATAGGAACGTTCATCATTCTGCAAATACTCACCTTATGGAAAAGTTCTAGAAAATTACTAATTAATTAATCCAATAGAGTTTGATGCAAATTATTCAATATTTATAGAATTTAATGATCTTCTTTCTAAGTTTTGTGGACTGTCCTAGCTGGTTATGACTCTCTAGACAAGGCTATGTAATTGTTCAAAAAGATCAACAGAGAGGCTAAAATATTCCATAAGGGTGAGGAATATTATTTACCGTATATACTCATTCATAAGCTGAATTTTTTTGGTAAAAAAGGGAAGCATCAAAGAGTGGGGGTTGGCTTATCAGTGGGTCTACATCAAAATTTGACAATTTTAAGCTCTATTGAATTATTGAATTGAATATCTAATACATTGTCGTTTTGTTTACCTGGAGCGTCCACGGGCATGGAGCCCCTCAGCTTCCAGTGGCCGCAGTTTGCCGTTCCCAGCCAATGGGAGCTGCGGGAAGAGGCAGCCCGTGCCGCTTCCCGCAGCTCCCATTGGCTGGGAATGGCAAACCGTGGCCATTGGGAGCCGAGGAGCTCCATGCCTGCGGATGCTCCAGGTAAACAAAATGTCCTGACCCACCAGTGGCTTACCCTGAGGGGCCAGGAGCCAAAGTTTGCCAACCCCTGAAATATAGGGTCGGTTTATGAAAGGGTCATACAGTTTTTGCCATTTTTACCTATCTATCTTGGGGGGGAGAGGGGTCAGCTTATAAATGAACAGGCTAGTGAATGAGTATATATGGTAGTTACTGCATCTGAGCCATATTTTTGCAGGGAGGACTTCTGTATCTATCTTGGGAATTTCTAAGGGGCCTAGCAACATGGTTCCTAAATGTTGGATAATTACGGGACTAGAATTTCAAGTGGGTTAGCTGTGCACAGCTA